GGGTCCTCACAGTCTACCCGGAATAAAGATCATCTGGGAGCCATTACCCAGTTTCGATTACAGGGAGGAGCCCTGCAGGGGACCAACCCCCTGGACCAACCATGAGCAAATGCCAACACAAGCAGAATTTAAACAAAAAGACCGAAGCAGAGTACTGTACTGTATGCTGCTGAAACACTTGAGCCCGAGACCTGCCTAGCTCGGGAGGTTTAATTCCTTGAAAGGGTAGCACTCCCTCCTTGCCCTCTACCATCCACTACTGCCCTCCTACTGTGAAGACAAAACCGAGTGCTCAGGTATTTAGCTGGCGTCTGCAAGCCAGCCGCCGAATTTCACTTTACTATCCTCCACCTTCGCCAACTCCTCTCCCAGGGGTCGAAGTCCCCAGGAACCATGCCAAACCCCCAGCCCTCTGCCGGGATCGTAGAACTTTTCGTCTCCAATCGCTCAGGATAAGGAGTCTGATCTGAGTCTTCACCGAGGTCTTGTTGCTGACGGCGGTGGTGTTATTGGTTTTTGATACTTGCTGTTGTTTATTACTCCTGGTGGTGATTGTTGTTGTTGTGGAAAAAAATGCTGAGGATGAAAAAGATCAAGAGAATAAAGGAAGTGGTACACCCATGAGCTGTTGAAATATGAATCAAACCCAAGTTCGAATCCAGATACAATCAGATGACCATAATTTAAAAAAGGGTCTGAAGTACCTGGGGCCGGTCAGGCGGTCACCCTTTGAAAAACAAAGGGAAAAGAAAAAAGATGCAATAAAAGGAACAATAAGTAGAGGTCGAATTTGTCGGTCGTCAGATAAAAACCGATGAAAACCAGCGGCCGACAAGGAAGGTGGTGGTGGTTGTGGTTGGTGCTGGTGGTTGTGCTTGGTGGTTGTGCTTGGTGGTGGTGTAGTAGGGGGTAGTGGCCTGTTGTTGGTCGCATGATGTTATTTTTTATTTCCCAGCTGGTGATGATGAGACTGACAAATCTTCTACTCCTGTTTTTTAATATGTGCACTTCTGCAGTACATCAAGACTGTGAAGTCGGCATCAGAAGGCTGTGTCACGGACGAGTAAAATTTCGAATTTGAGCTTTTACTTCGTCATCTTTGAGTGACGTCCAAGCATTTACTTGGTCATTCTGTTTGAGTGAAATTCGAGCATTTTCTTTGTCTTTTATTTGACGATGTGTGCTGCAACTCCCTCTCCTTTTGTAATGAGGGCCTCAACGTTTCACAGAGCATTGATGAAGGTGGATACACACGCAAGAAATGCTTGCACAGTCGATAATATACCCACATGCCAGGGACATGGTCTCTCTCTCTCTCTCTCTCTCACTCATGCGGAGACATGGGAGAGGAAGACATGGGAAAGGGGAGGATGTGTGCCATTCTGTGTGTGTAAGAGAATGGTTACCGAATCGTTGTGTGTGTTTTCTGCACATTGGCGCACAGAAGGCATATGTTTCGTGTAGAGGTTTATCCATCATGGGCTCCATTTCTCTTTCTCTCTCTCACTCACGCGGAGACATGGGAGAGGGAGACATAGGAAGGGGGAGGATGTGTGCCATTCTTTGTGTATCATTGTGTGTGTTTTCTGCACATTGGCGCACGGAAGGCATATGTTTCGTGTGGAGGTTTATCCATCATGGGCTACCCACTCCTAGCTGGAGGGGTGTGGCAATTTGTTATTTCTACCACAGGTGTGTGTCAGGAGGGGAAAGGGGGTGCGGCTCCCTGCTCAACACTCAGCCCTCGGTCCAGGTTTTTTAAGGTAGACTACGTTATGTAGGAGGAAATCAAGGAGGTCGTCAGGTGAGTTTTGGCATTACATACATTCGGAGGAGAAGAGTTTTGGCGTTACAGCAGCGAAGTACTTTCAGAAGTGATCTTGTGCGACCGTCGTGCAGAGACGGAGAATTGTGCACTTTTCGGTGTGTGCTACAATTGCCCAGGATGGAATGAGCGGTGTGGTGGTAAGTGATTTTTGACAGCACTGCATGCACAGAGAACCGGTCAGGGCATTCAACAGAATGCCGCACGGCAATAAGAGAGAGAGAGAGAGAGGTTGGTGGCCATCAACCATGGTTGAGGTTATTTTTTGCTCTTTTGCACAAAGAGAGAGAGAGAGAGAGAGAGAGAGAGAGAGAGAGAGAGAGAGAGAGAGAGGTTGGTGGCCATCAACCATGGTTAAGGTTATCTTTTGCTCTTTTGCAATTTGTTGAGAGATTTGATCACCTCTCTGGTGAAGAAGAGAGGTATCAGGGCACATGACAGATAATTAACTTCCCAGAGTTCGTCCTCTTCTAATCAATCGCTTCATGTTGTTTTGAAGGCGGAGAGAGAAGATTGTGTTCCTTCTAAACTTCGCTCGTTGATTGGCTCTTTACCAGTGTGTTTTTTTTTTTCTGTTTTTTTTTTTTTTTTTTTTTTTTTCAAGGTTAGCTTTTGAGGGAAATTGCTTTATACTGTGTGAAAAACTTTATGACAGAAGAGGGGAGGACATGAGAATGCCCAGATTGGCAAACTGTGAAAAGCGGGGATTATGACCATATGCATTGAATTTGCACCAGAATTCTTACGACGGGCGAAGCGAGTATTCGAAAAGTGCACACACAATTGTCCTTTTCTGCATGACCGTTGCAAGAGAAGGGCAATTGTGCAATACTTGCAACGCTCTGGCAGTCGAGGTCCTTCTCCGTGTGTGCAGTGTTGTCAAAGCATGGGCAAAAGCGAGCATCGGAAAAGTGCACAATTGCCCACACCTTGGCCCTCGGCGCACTACATGCGAAATGTGCAAAATGAGAACGAACCTTCGGTTAGAACATGGACAGATACACGGCCATATGTTTTGTCTTTCGTGCATGTGGAGAGTACTGCAGCGAGCCTCCTTGACTGCCAACCAATGTGAAAAGTTATGGTGCATCGATGGACGCCTTGCAACAGTTTGGCAATCAAGGTGTGGGCAAAAGCGAGCATTGGAAAACAAGAGGTGGAGATAGGGCAACAGTATCATAATACCGAGGGCATGTGTAAGATTTGGAGGGGTGGGGGCGGGGCTCTATGGTAATTGCAATTACAATTGACGCATAAGCATGGAGCGCAGTCAATTCGATCGAACAGAAAACCAACAATGGAGAACCAGATCTCCCGAGATCGCGTACTCGAAACAAGATGTATGGACAGTGCATATCTTGGAGCAAGAAGACAGTCAGACAGCAATCATGGTCTTGGAGCAAGAAGACAGTCATACAGCAATCATGGATTGACCACAGGTGAGAGGAAAGAAAGAAAGAAAGAAACGACAACAAATGCAGCAGATTCTCCCGAACGCACCCCCAAGACGTGCCAAATAATGTCCAATGACGCATAACCCATCCGCCACTGACATCGTGCGAAAAAAAAATAAAAAAATAAACAGTTCCCTGAGTATCGCCAGTTCCCTGTGTCCTTTCCATCCAAACAGTCGGTAGCGTTATCGCGACCCTCTACTGCTGAGATCCTCTCCTGTACAAATGTGCAAAATGAGAATGGATCTTCCGCTAGAACGTGGAAAGATGCACCGCCATATGTTTTGTCTTTTGTGCATGTGGAGGGTAGTGCAGCGAGGAGGCCTTATGCCGGTTCTCCTCTTCAGCACCGGTGCAGAATGCGTACTACGGACTATAGGATGGTCAGGTGCCAGTCTGGAGCACCCATGATACATGTGCCGGGTCCTTGAGGGCTGGAAGAGCCTTGGCCACTGGAAGAGCCTTGGCCACTGCTCCTTCGGAGACAGCTTCCCTAGACATCAAGAGTGCAGAATGCGCAAGGGGCATTGATTGCTTCCCCTGATGGGAAGGATTAACCCCGCGCCATGTAATACTCGAGCCCTGCCCTTTTTTTAAGTCAACAACCCCCCGGTGATAGCGGTGCTGGTAAAAGCAGCCACCGCTACCACCCGGGAAGAGGCTCCGTCTATTGGTGGGGAGCATCACCTGCTGGAAAGCGGGTCCAGCGTCCCATATACAAACTGCAATCAGAAAAATAATGTAGAGCGAGCCCTTCCCTACTATGGGATACCGACAGAAGTTGGAGCATTCAAAACCGAAGGGTGGAGGTGAGTCATAGCAGGGGAACTCACGCGTCATGATAGGGCTAAGAAACTCAAACTCGATCCTTGTCCCAATCGAACCCTATGTGATTATGATCAGCAGTTGCAGAAAACGTGTCTCCCTACCACTGCGCAAATTAAGAGAAGGGCGATGGAGAAGGGGAAACCCTCGTTTCTTATAGTGAATCAATGAATGGCACATGAGAACTCATCGCGGAACATCAGGGTCAACAGCCTCTACAATCAGGTTGATCTCCATACTGATAGCGATACAAACAAGGTGGTCAGATGGGGGGCCGATCCGGTCTCCCTTTGTCCTCACCTTTAACCAACTCCTCGCCTCCATTGCCCATGCTCGATCCACCGAACCCTGCGTTTCCTCATGCCTGGTCGCCCGGGCAGCCCCTCCTCCCGCCCTTCTCCCATTCCATCCCCTTGGGCAAAAAGCAGAAGAGATAAGCCCACGACCACGTAGGTGGAACTTGGGTTGCACGTTAAACCTGAGAGACAAAGAAGAAATCAGTGGAGAAATCAGAGGAGAAATCAGAGGTAGGAGAGAAGACAAAGAGGATGTTTCAGGAGAGAGAACAGAGCCCACCTCAAACTGCCACTCACCTCCATGAGGGGTGCAGGGTAGTCGTATCATCGTTTCTTTTTTTTTTTTTTGCTACTGATGATGATGATTAGTATATAAAAACATTATATATCAGCACCTCTGGCCTCCTAATCCTAGAACACCTCCTAGCCCCCCTGTACCAGGACATTGTAACTCAGAGACAATACCTACCTAACCAACGTCACCCATAGCTGATCTCTTCTTGCCACCTAGCAGCCCCCCCCGGTTCACCACTGGATTGCCTTCCTCCYTYGGCAAAACCCAGATCTCTCTACAAGGCCTCACGCTCCTGCCATTTGCAGGTTACAGGGCAACACCCCAGCTCCGGCCAGCGTCGTTCTGGCATTGGCAAAACAGAACAGAGCAACTATGCACATTGGCAAACCTGGGGCACAGAACAGAGCAACTATGCAGATTAGTTGTATCATCGTCGTCGTTGTTGTTGATGATGTTTTTGTTGTGATTATTGCTGGTGCAGCCATCGATGTTGCCGCTGTTGCTGTTGTCGCCGTTGCTGTCTATAGTAATACCGCTGTTGATCTGTTGTCGCCGTTACTGCCGTTGTTGTTGTTGCCACTGTCGATGTTGTTGTTGTTGTTGATATTATTGTTGTTGATGTTGCTGTTTATGTTGTTGCTGACATGGTTGATAATGCGGTCGTTGTTATAACCATTCCATGACCAGCAATCGCTCGGACTGGGCGGTGCGGAGCCTCCTACACCTGATTGCAGATACCACCCCGCCTCCAGCGCTGTGTACAAGTCTTGCCCCCTCCCCAAGAATGTCGTAGCAGCACTGCATCAGAGTCTCTACCTGTTGCCAGTCTGTGAAATCATTCAATCGAGGAGCCGGCCCCTCCTCCCAACTCCCAGATGACCTGCATCATACTTTGCATCTCACCCTCAAACGACGGGGTCAGTGGGGCTGCCCCCCCATCAGCCTCCAACCGATTTCCCCATTTTGATCGTAGGGCATCCACCATCTCCCGTAGACGATGCCGTCCTATCTGAATGGTCGAGAGCCACTCGGCGGCTCCTCGCTGCAACTCTCCAGTCGAAGCCATCTCGAACGTCAAACCAGCTGATCTGCCAGAAAAACTGCGCCGACGAACTCCCACTTCTTCCTGCCACCCCCACATGCAATTGGGCAGCAACCCTCTTTCTTTCTTTTTCCCCCCTGGTAACCACTTAGGGCATACTCACACTAGCACGTCTTTACTCATTTCTGGCCGCAATTGCGGCCAGATGCATACAGGTCTGGCCGTAAATGGTGTCAGATACATTTACGATTGTGTCAGTGTGAGTACGCCCTTAGGGAGAGATCCCACTGGCAAAGAGGATTGGAAGAAGTGTCGGAATGTGGACGTGTTTGTGGACAGGTGCGAAAACTTGTGATTGATGTACTTTTCTGCACCTTGCCAGGAACACGCCCAGATTGAGACACTTCTTCCAATCCTCTTTGCCTGTGGGATCTGGCCCTTAGTCTCACCGAGGTGCCCAAAGACTTGCATCCACAGTACTCGTAATTGTTTGCTCAGGAGGAACGTTCGAGCATTTTCGGGAATGGAGCAACTGTTGATCTGAGCACCGGTTTTCACTGAGCGCGTCTTTTGGATTTCTGTGTCTCCTTGTTGCGGCAGCATTTGCAAGACTCTCTGTTTCATCTACTTCTCCATCGTCATCATCCCCTCTGCTCATCCTCGCCCTGCGTATGAATGCCATATATTCTTCTTCCCTTCCTTCTGAAATTGCAAATGGGAAAAGTCATAAGACCTCCCCGCGATGATGAAACCTTTGTGTCAGTTTCCCCCCAAACGGCGAAAAAGGTGCTGCAGGCCCCAAAACCACTTTCTTTCCCGTCATTTTTGCACAGCGGCCGTTACCGGCCCAGACATGGTGCAAAAATTACACCAAAAGTGATTTTGGGACCTGCGGCACTTTTTTTTCTCGTTTGGGGGGAAATGGATACGAAGGTTTCGTCGCGGGGAGGTTTTATGACTTTTCCCATTGCAAATACTTGTCCTCAGCCTCCTACCCTTGTGAATGGCAATATGCTGGGTGTTATTGCATTGTTGATTGGTACGTCCCGATTGATGTTGACTCTGCATGAGTGACACAACATGCTGCAGCAAGGTCCGGGGAGTATTGTATTGAGGCAGTACACACAAGCGCGCGCGCGCACACACACACACACACACAC